ACCTGAAGCGCGGCGAGTCCTTCAGGCACTCCTCGAAGTCCAGCGCCGCTCGCACGACCATGACGCCGCCGCCCGCGACGCCGCCGCCGCCGCCGCCCTCCTTCCGGCACGGCCGACGCTCCGCGCGGGGCGGAACGAGCGAGCGAGCGGGCGGGGCGGGGCGGGGCGGGGCGGGGCCTGGCCGTCTCCGGGCAACGGCGGCGCCCCTGGCGGGCGGAGGGAGGCCTTGCCGGGCGCTCGGGAAGCGCTGCCGCTGCCCCGCCGCGGCCTGGCCCGGCTGGCCAAGCTCGGGCGCGAGGCGCGGGAGGGGGCGCGCCTGCCGAGGCCCCGCCGCCGGCCTAATCCGCCGTTCGAACGCGGGCCTGGAAGGAGCCTGGTCCGGGGAGGGCAGCCCTGCGGGTCACCCGAAGGCGCACTGGGAGGCCGCCCGTTGACAAGCAGAGCCACGCCTGAGCTGCGATAGAAACAGCGAGGCAGAAGGGGCTCCCGGGCCAACTAGTCTGACCCCGGCCCCAGCCGGCTCTGCCCGCGACACGCCTGCCACGTGCATGCCCAGCCAGTCCTTGACACCCGCACCGAGGGGCCTCAGCCGCCTCCCTGGAAGCCCCTTCCATGCCCGGGGGGTCCTAACCGTCAGGATCACCAACTGGTTATAGAACGGAAGACGGGAGGGCAGCGAGCAATGGCGACTGCTCCCGAGGGAGACGCGTCACCAGAGAAGCCGCCCAGCGTCGTTTCAGGGCCGGCGCTTTTCCAGCGCTTCCTCCCCGGCTGGTCGCACAAGGGCGCGGCGCGTCACCGTCGCGGGGAGCGCCTTCTCTGTCGCGGCCCCGTCCAGGGCGGGCCCCCTCCAGAGGATCCCCGCAGGTGGGTCTTCGCAGCATACATGCGGGTGCCCCGATAGGCCGCTCCTTTTTCAGCAGGCCTATTCATTTCGCCGCTAGCTCTTAATGTTTATTTTTCGTGTTTTAGTTATCTTGAGACTTTGTGTGATGATACAGCCTCTTGGTTTTATGATTGTAGAGCGTCTCATGGGCATATGCCTTTTGTGCAATATGCAAATCTAATAAGAGAAATGTCAATTTTTGGAGGCAGAGTAACCCTCCAAATTGCCATTGAATGTTCAGGAATGTTCAGCTTGGGAGTAGGGGACCACTCAGTTTGGGCATCTCCCAAATCTGGATAATTTGTTTCTAGATTTGGCTACACCAGGCCATGCCCCTGGCATCCCGGCAGTGCTTTGCATATACCATCAGGAATCATTTTGTCTCCTGGCTGGCCATTTTCATTCCATGTCAATCCAACTACCCAAACTTTCCTCGAGTGGCAGGATTCAGCAACCCCTTCCTGCTACAAACAGCATGACTAGCCCTGGCTGCATCCACTGCCCCTTAGGAAAGCCTTGAAATGAAAACATGCACGCTCAGTTCAAACCAAGAACTTTATTCCACATGATAAAACCAAATGCAATTCAACACACGCTTTGTGTAAGGAGAGCTGACATGGTTGAGAGCGAGCGCCTTACAATCATTTTCTGGTTATGCCAGTGGTGGCGATTTATAGGATCGGTGAAGAGAACCTGGTGGGCAGCTGCCTTCGTGGGTCAACTAGAGCTCCAAAAGGATGAGGCAGCTTCTATTTGCAGCTTCTGGGGTGGCAGCGCGCAGCTCCTCTTCTGGGCTTTATGGGTTCAGTGGGGAAAACCCGCACTGCCTGTGGGACTCAGAACTGAGTCTGCTGTCCTACCCTTGGGCTTGTGTGTGTGTGTGTGTGGGGGGGGGTGCTTCTTGCAACAACTAATTCATGCATCACCTCTCCCACAGGTCAAGGGCAACACAGAGAAGTCAACTGTGTGGCAGCTTTCATCTGCCATGTGAGGAACACCCGAAAACAGCCAGCTGATGTGGGAAAGTGCATGGCTGATTAAGGCACCACAGGATTGGCCAACAGGTGGTCTGGGGAGCAGTTCCTGGGACACCCCCCAGGAAAAATAAATCACTGGGTTTCCAGCTGCATTTAGTGGCAGATGGCACCATATTACTGTAAGGCTGAATTTGGTTTGTTTCCAGGCTAAATTTACAGAGTACCTTTTGGGCACCCTGGGGCTTCTATGGATATAGTTTGTTTTATGAAAAAAAAAATTAGGGACAGTGCACTGCAAATGACCTGCAAGCAGCGTGTTCCCTGTACATCAGTTTCCAACACATGTTGACCAAACCAGGGACAGAAACAAGCCCATGCGCACTGTGCCAGGCCAGCAGAAACAACCCAAAGCAGACAATACACGCAATCAGTTCTCATGGAATAAAATGCACATTGGTGAATTTGCACAATATGCCAACTAAGAACCTACAAAGCTTGTCTGAACCAGAGAATTTTCAGGAGACACAAAGCCAGCTCTCCTGGAAAGCTCGGCTGCTTTCACAGCATCCCCAGAACAGGCACAAGCCATTAGGTCTCACCCACATCCCAGGCAGGCAGACTCAGAAAACACTCTTCCTTCCTTGTCCACAACTCATGAATGTATGTTAACACGTGTGGTGGGATACAGTCGTTAGAAGACAATGAACTTGATGTGTTTACTTGTTTGGGAAGATAGAAAGGAGAAATTTCGCCCAGGGCTGGAGGTAACTGACCCCATCATAAAACCTCTCTATCGTCAGGGTGTTTATTCCAAAGGAAATGGCTCCTCTGTCAGGACAGCACAACAGGCGGCCACCGTGCTCCTTCGGTCTGCCCGTTTTGACCTTAGGAAAAGGGTATCCTTGGGAATTCATCCAGCCATGTTAGACTGAAAATACACAAAACAAAGCACTGAGGTTGCATTTCAGTACAGAGTCTGAAAGAGCATCAACTCCAATTGGCTCAGACAGACGGATGGACGATTCCCCAATGCTGCACGGGGTGGGGCTGGCTGTTCGGCCCCCAGTCGACCAGGCCGCACTGCAGAGGAAGGGAAGCTGCACCAGCCATTTCAACAGGAAATGACTGTGACCGCTAAATCACAGCAAAACCGAGGCAAACAAGGACTGAAGCAACTGTTGTTCAGTGTGCCCACTGGCCACCGAGAACACAGCTGCCAAGTGGGAGCCTTTACAACAGAGCGCAGCCTTCCAGAATTCAGAATATGGAGCCAATGAACTGAGGAGTTTCTGATGGCAGGGTACTATCTGCTATCTCCCCCACAAACAATTCATGACTTCTAATTTGGACATTTTATAGAGACTCGGGCTAACTAATAATTTATGGTAAGGAAGGATTTGCAACCAACTCAGCAGGGAGAAGACCATACACCATTGCAGTCTCATTTACACACTCACTGCATACATCGCCAGCACTCCCACACATCCAGTTCAGCCCCCCACAAAGCCCCAGGGGCTGCTGAAGAACCTCTAAATCTCCAGAGAAGGTAGACATAGCTCAGTCTGGCCCAAGGGGCTCCAAAGGAGACCACCGATGGCCCCAGAGAACTCTGGTCTTTCACGCTTGGTAAGATTTACTCTTTGCTTTAGACAGGCTTTCCCAGTCTGGTGTCCCCCAAAACATCGGACTCCCCCACCACCATGCCCAGCGAGCAAGGTTACCAGGCGGAGGAAGGCTGCTCTGGTCTCAAATGCTGGGCCATGACAGACCAGCTGGTCACCAGGGCACACAAGCGAGCCCCAGGCAAGGCAGAGGCACAGGAACTTGCTTCTCCTGGAGCTCGAGTGTGCATGGTGCCCCTCCTGTCAAGAGGAGGCAGGCCCCGGAAACAGGTTTCTGCAGATGACGGCCAATCACAGGGAACAAGACCAGGGGCAGGACAGGCCAAAACGCCTCCACAGCAAGGGAAGGGATTCACAAATCGGAGGGAGTCAGCCTCGTATTTTCCTCATTTATTTAGTGCCAGTGATTGAAGTGCAGTACAGAACAGAAAGGCACCCCTGCCCAGCCGGCTAACAGCCGAAGGAGGCTCAACAAGGTGTTTTGGGGAGAGCTCGCCAATACTGAAAGCCAGGGCAATTGTGCCTTCCCGGGATTGTGGCAGGTTACCAGAATAAAGCCTCGTCAACAATTCACCAGAGCCTCTAATGGGAACGAACACCGTCTTCTCCTTCACCCAAACATCACTGATGCAAAGCGAACAAGCACATGCAAGTCCAGGAAATGGGGCAGCAGCGCTGAGGTGGCAAAGGTGGTGTGTGAGGCAGCCCAATGCGGACACTTTTGCAGAAAAGATCAGTTTTGTTGCACTGTTTTATCGACACTCAGCAACTAGATATTTGACCCTCCATGTTTAAGCTACGAACATGTTCGAAGAAAGCCCCCAAGTTCACTTTAACTGTAAAATAGCGCATTGTGTTATTCAGACACTCACAATGAACAAGAAGTCAACTTAAAAAGAGCCAAAAAGTATATGGAGTGTGTCAACTTACCAATTTAAGTCAAAATTAAGAAATAAAGAGCCAGGCAGTCAGTCTGTTTAACCAGAGTGAGAACTAAGCAGCCTGCCGCATCTGTCAACCGGGGCCGATGCCTGGGCCTTCCAGCACGCACGCCCCCCTAAATGTCACCCACCCACAGCTATTCACAGGCTACCTTTTGCTCCTCCCACAGGCTATGTGGTTGCACAGCCCCCGGGCTACCCTAGCTGCTGCCCCCGCCCCCCCCCCCATAGAGAAGAGGCCCGCAGGAGAGAAGCAGACAAATATTTGAGTCTAGCAGCAGCCGCCACCGCCGCCCTCTTCCAGGAAGGATTTTCAAAGCTGGCTTCCCTCTTGGCAGTGCTCGAGAAGGTGGACGGGTGGCAGTAAGAAAGCATGTCCTGGGCAAGAGTGGTGCTCAGCTGATGGGAAGCGAGCCACAAAAACGACATCCTGAGGCCGAGGCCACCAAGAGCAGAGCAGGCGTGACCAGGCGGCACGGCACACCGAGGCTCATCGCTTCTCAAGTACAGCAGCCCAGAACACCCAGTCGCAGCTGGAAGGCTCAGGGAAACTGTCGGAGGGCGGGAAATCTGCCTTCTCGTTTTTGACAGCTGAACAGAGAACAACTGTGTCGCACAGACCAGCTAAGTTAATAATGGCAGAAAAGAGAGCTACAAGAGGAAATCTACTCAATGAACAAATCCCTTTTTCAAAAGATCCTGCTGATTACCAATACTTCAGAGCATCGTTTCCCAGCTGTACAGTTTGGCAGACCAGCACCATGTCTTTCTGTGCAGTGTATGGCCATGGACGTCCCCAAGAGTGGTGCCAAACGTAACTGAAAGCAAAGTGACTAGATGTTTTGCAAGCTTCAGAACCAGAAAGGAGCGCAACATGGCTGTGCCAAGGCAAGGCAACCAGCACCACAATGCACCGTGTTGTTCTGTGGGTCATGAATGAAGCCGTCTTCTGTGATTAGCAGGCACAAGAACAAGTCAGCTCAGTAATTTTGTCCACCGCCTAACAGCAAAGCCTCAACAGTAACCACTATTCTTGGCAAAACAGAAGTGAGAGCTGGCTGGCTCCACCACAGTACCTGAGCCACAACTGCAGAAGTGTGATGCAATGAATACAAAGTTATGGCTTTAGGAGAAGTTAGAGTCCTGAGCAGACTTCTTCTAGGCCGTGTGCAATGTTCTCAAGCGGGTCACTAGGAGCGGGTACTGCGGAAAAGAGAAAAGAGCAGATGTGGGTTTCTCAGAGAATACAGCGTTCATTGCGAGGCGGCATCACATCTAGTAGGCAGACATCAGCCACCCCTGAAGCACAGCCGGAGTCTCACGCCCTGCATGCCTCTTTTAAAAAATGAAACACAACGCACACACTGGAAGTTCTGTTAGTGTAGGGAAAACCCAACACTGCATCTCAAATTCTTCTCACACAATACCTGCCACACAGATCCTTGCTGCAGAAACCAAGACCCCAGCTAACCATGTGCCAATTCTGGAAAGCAGGTGGAACTGCCACTTGGCCCATCCGAATGCTCCAGGCAGTCTTATGAGTCAATCCGCAAGGGCCCTTGGTCCCCTCACACACCAGTGTTCAGCACTTTGGGCCTTGTGAGCCATCTGTGTACCGTTTATTTCATTTCTATACCACCCTGTAACCAAAGTTTTCTGGGCAGGATACAACAATACATAAAAACAAAACAATAAAATACAAATATCATAAAAACAAAGCATGGTCATACATTTAAAACAGAAAATTATACAGTCAAGCTGACCTACAAAAGGAAAAATCAGATCACCTGGAATGGACGCTCTCCCCCTGGAGAGCAGAGGGCATCTTCGGAAGTGTCAGCATAAAGGGCCACCCTAGCCTGACACTGAAAAGTTGACGCATTTGGCGCCAGGTGGGCCTCCCTGGGAAGGCTGTTCCACAGATGGAGGGGCCACAGGTTCACAAACGAATTTGAGGAAGATCAAAGGGAGTTCGGCAGGATCAACACTGGGCCTCCAGCATCAGACACAAGCACATAACAGAGGCAGACCATCTACCTTAGAGAAGGGTGAGGAAGATGTCCCAGGAGACAGAAATACGCATTTTCCCATTAAAAACCCATCCGGTAAACAGGAGGAGGCTTAACGCTAAGGGGGGACGGGGAAGCACCCCCCGTCAGCTGAGCAACCCCAAATGGTCCAGACTCTGTGGGGAAAGGGGCACATGCAGAGGTGGGTGCCAAATGGATGTGATCCACCTTTACCTGGAAAGGCAAAGCAGAGGCTGTTGCATCTTTTGGGGGATGAACAGAAAGAGGATTGGGAAATTATACGTGACTGCCTAATCAAGACAGAGGCAGCCTCTAGGTTACAAAAGAGTTCCGTTCTGAAAAAATGGAATTTCATTTTTAAAGTCAAATCTGTAAGTAAGATCACATATAGTCAGCCTGCCAGTTTGCAGAGGTTAGGGACCCCCATGAAAGTGGAAAAATGCAAATATTTCAAGCCCCCACCCAACCTCACCAGCGCCTCATCTTTGGAGCAAGGAAATGCAGGAGATTTCCCCCTCCAGACGGGCAGGGCAGGGCAGGGCAGGGCGGCCCACTTTGCACAGCCGTCCCTCCCTCTCCACCCTTTCACTTCCTCTCTCTCTATGGTGATGAAGATTTTCTGGATTAATTTTTTAAAAATTAGCAGGCTTCATAACAGTTTGGGTTTGGGTTAGGGAGTTCATAACTCAGATGTTCATAACTCAGGGACTGCCTGCATTTACTGTATCCGGATCATCTTTCCCTGAGCCCGACACACCCAACCCAACCCAACCCAGCCCCCACCCCCCGCCTGGGCTCTGAGGAAGATCTACTCAAACTTGGAACCAAGAGTTTGGGGTGGTTACAAGTCTGCATTGCCCTTTTCCATCACCCTCCAATTTGGGCTTAAGATGGAGTGTCCCATCCAGCAGAAATGGGTAGGCACTCGCACGCTCCCTCTTGCCCACGGCTAGCCAAGGTCTATAAACCCTGGGTAGCCGTATCTTTGCAGAAATTTCTGTGTGAGAATTACAGAAAGATCAGAAAGGTTGCCTTTGCGCTGTAAGCCAAACCAAGCAGCTGGTCCAGTTTACAGCAAATGCATGCCAAGACATTCTCAGGCCCCTGCTGGGAAGCTTCATGAGGCCATGATGCAATTCCCACCTGGATTAACTACTGTGAACTGCCAAAAGAGAGGTTCATCTATTCTGTGGTAGAGAAATGTAATAATTTATCCCGATTATTCCGAATGTTCAAGTAAAACTGGACAAATACAAATACAAATACTGGACAAGGAGCAGTGTAAAACTTCTGGGAAATCGGGAAAACAAACAGGCAGGTGTTAGTGGACTCTTCATGCTGAGGATCAGGCATGAGACTGCACAGCCCCCCAGGAAGGCTCTCAAGTCACCAGGTGAGGCTGATCATGAGACAAAGCCAGGGAAGAAATGGGCTGGGCACCCCCCCCCCCCCCCCCCCCGCTGAAGCAGCAGCTGGAAGCAGAGCCCTCCCCTGGTACCAGCACATGAAGAGGGAGGAGCAGAAACGGGACGGCGCTTGCCTCTGGGCAGGTCCCAACACTGCTCACAGAGCCCCTTCCTTCTGCTGGAGACGACGGTGTTTACCGATGGTCATTACAGCCTTGCAGTTCAAGCGCCCTTGAAGTCCCCCGGCAGAAGGATGGGCTCACAAATATACGAGGTAATGAGTCGCAGTGCTACAATACCGAGACACCCCCAGAGCCGTGCCAGGGCCTCTCCTGCCAGGGAGAAGTGAAAACACCCACAGCATCAACACGCGCAGAGGCAGCTGGCTGGGCGGAGACGGGCTCCTCGCCTGCTGTGACTGCAGCCCGGCTCATCTCTCTTTTAAGCCATCTCACCCCAGCCCACACTCTCACTGACGGAGGCTCTCTCCCGCAAGCGCCATGTGCCCGAGACCCAATCCCGACTTCTGCAGAAGTTCCTTGCCCAGAGCGACAACCCTAAAGCCCCATGCGGCAACGTTACTGCCGAGCGAGCACGCAGTGGATCGGGCGAGGGCCAGGTCCCGCTTCGCCGACGTCCTCCGACTCTCAGGCTAACGGACGGACCACCAACCCAAGGCTGGCTGAGGAGGAGCGCAGCTCCAGGGCATGCGTCTCCCCCACAAGCCCGGCTATGGGGATGCGTAACCAGCACGGCAGGGCTGCGTGCGGCACACTCTGCCCCAAGCCTCGACACACTGCGCGACCAACCTAAGGCTACTTCGAACCTGTTCGCACATTCTAAACCACACCGTCACGCCTGCAAAAGTTCACCCATGGAAATGTTTAAGGTGCTCAGCACTAAAGCTGGAAGTAATAGTGAATGAAGTAGGTAGCTCAATCATTATAGGAAGGCTGGGGCAAAGAGAAGGGCATCTGCCTAAAACCTCACACGCTCTGCACCTCCCAAACACAAGAAGGGGGAGCATTCCATGGGGGGGGGGGCGACCTATGAAGGCGGCCTGCACCCAGGCGGCCGTCCGGCAACACTCTGCGGGTCTCAGTGCAACCAGCAAGGCTTCCCCTAACGGTCTCTGTTTCTGCCCAGGTCTGTGCAAGGGAGGTGATCGCCGGCAACACCCCAGTTGCTTCGGGCGCAACACGCCGACGGTCCAACCCTGACCTGCCTCAGCCCCGATGGGAAGCCAGCGCAGCTGCTTCTGTGCCACTGCTGCGCACGCTCGGCCAGGTGCGCCACTGCTGCCTTAGTTGCAACTTCTGGACCAGGCACAAGAGCGGCCCCAGAGAAAGTGCTCTCCAGGAATTTGCCAGCTCATCCCTGCCCAAAAGGGGTGTTCCTGGCTGACATACCAACTGTCGCTTATTGCAGGGATTCCTCACCACAGAAACTATCTGAGCTTCTACGGACAGTGAATTCAGGAGTGTCCCCAGACGACATAGCTGTGCTCTCTGAGGGAGGGCAACCCTCTAGAACAGGCCGACTCCTCAGTTCCTATCCCTGTGAATCATCTGCCCGCAGATCCTGTCATGTCAGAGTTCAGCCTGTCTGCTGGTGCCTCAATCCATCCAGGCACCTGTCCAAAACATGCACAGCCTCTCCTGATTCAGGTGGCAAAGAGAAATAGGTGGACACTGTAAGTACGTTGTGACGGTTCACCAAAGATCTCCTGGTGACGATACCAAGCTGATTCACATAGATGTTAAACAGCACTGGGGACAGGATGGTGCCCGGCAGCACTTCACAGCACAAGTGGAAGGGTGCTGAGGCATGGTCCTTCAAGACCGTGGGGAAACGTCCCTATAAGCAGGAATGCAATCACGATAAACAAGCCCCCAACTCGGAAATTTTCCAAAAGATTATCATGGTCAGCAGTATCAAAAGCAACCAAAACATCAAGCTGTTCCACAAGAATAGACTCATTTCATAGCCTCCTTTAGTGTCACAATGACTATTTCAGCCAAGTTTTCCAGTTCCAATTTTGATCAATGAGAACTCTGCTTCTAGCTTCATATGCAAACACATCTACATTCAAGTTGTATCTGGGGGAAAAGCAAAGGCAGCTTCTTGCCCAGTGAAAACTCGAGGATTCAGGCACCAGTGGCACCAAGACATTTTTGTGAATGAAATCACTGGATTGGCAACACTGTGGAAGCCATTTTTTTTTTAGTTCATTGAAATGGCAGGAGCTGGTGACTGTCAAAGAGAAGTGCTCAATTTATTCAAGTGAAGAACACACCAGTGAAGGAATGGGAAGGGCTTGGAGGAGAAAGCTCTTTCCCTCTCCAAAGGAAAGGCACAGGGAGGCACATCAAACTTAAGAACCAAACAGATTCAACGGAAGCTGATGCAGAAGGACACACTCTGCCTGCGGGATGCTGCATCTGGAATGCAAATACAAATGCAAATGGTTGGTTCAGGAAACACACCAGCCAATGCCCAGTGGGCCAGCTGCTGCTCAGACCACAGAATGGTAGGAGTCGGAGGGCCAAAGGCCATCGGGTCCAACCCCCTGCTATTGCAGGACACTGAAGTGCACTGTCCCATTCAGATGGCTGTCCAGACAGTTTTCGAAGAACCAGATACACAAGTCACAGGTCCCTGCCTGGAGACCACAGAACTGCACAAACCTCAGCAGGTTTGTCTTCCAGCAAACAGGGCAGGGGAAATGCAGGAATGGCCACACACTGTCCATTTTCATCTCTACTGGTCCTGCCACTTCCTCAGAGTATATCCCCACAGAAGGGACACGCCTGCTCAGCACGAGACAGAGTTGCCCAGCGAGCTGACTCGAAGCAAATCCCGGGCAGGGGACAGCCAAGCAGGCCAGACTGTTCCTGGAATGGGGAAGCCAAGCGCACCACCCACACCGCACAGAACCCAGACATGTGTCTGTCCAGGAGCCTCTCTGGGTTTTTCTCAGGGACACGGATATTTCCAAACCTGCAAAATACACACCACCTTGTAGCTCATGGCTTCAAGCAGCAGATGCAAGCACAGAGCTATCTCTGCATGGGGAACAACTGTGTGCTCTTTGAGAGTGAAGTGCTCACCAGGAGCTGGATTCATTTGTCTTGAGCCTGCTGTGTCCCGCATCTCTTCATCATCATCGTCATCATCTTCAGCAGCTGCATCACCCCGTAGCTCCTTTGCAATCAGTTGTCTGGCAAGCTTAATGTTCTGGGCTTCATTGTAATGCATCTTTCTCTTCATTTCAAACTGCCTTTTTTTCTCTGCAAACAGCCACAAAAGAATTAATACATACAGTCACCAGTCATTGATTTCCAGATGTTAAATGGCTTTTCACTTTGGTCAATTTTACATCTCCCACTCAAGATATGACGGCTCAAAGGTGAGCAGGTCAGGACCAGCCCTGCCAGGGACGCAAAGAGAACTGCGAGACAGATGGGCTGCGATCCAGCACAGCAAGGCTCTTTCGGCGAAATTGCTCCTCACGGGAGATTTGGCAAAAAGATCAGCCACCATCTGCACGTGGCATCACCGAAGAACTCACAGGTGAGAATTAGAGACCACTTTGCAGATGGCGTATACCTGGATGTAGCCTGTCTGTTCCCAAGATTATGGGAGCAGGGGAGGTGATGAAAGGGAGAGGTTTTGTTGAATTTTCTTAGACTCAACCCAAAGGCCAGCTCCAGCACTTGCAACACTTCAGAAGGGAGTTCCGCTGCAAGTCGTCTGTAGCACGACTCGGATCCCTATTTGGGGACAGCCAGTTGTATACAGGAAGCCAAATTCACACTTACCTGCTTGTGCTGCCGGAATCACACAAATGTCTATTTTACCAAGGACACAGAGCCTGGAAAAGCAGTGACTGTTTCCAGGTTCAAAAAGTCACAAGGAAGCAGCAAGCAGAGCCTGACCGGCATGTGCGGGATTCCAAGCGCAGACGCATTCATTTTCAGTCAGATATAGGTGTACAGAAAGGAGCTTAAAGGGCAGTACAAAATGCCAAGGCTACTGTTCCCCATGGCCACAGAATCTCAGTAGAGCCGAAAGGGGCCAAAAGGCCACCAGGTTTAACTCCCTGCCCAGTGCAGGATCCCCCGCTAAACCATCCCTCTCGGATGCCGGTCCATCTCTCCACCAGCAGCCTCTGCTCCGCCAGCCAGGGAGCGGCCATGGTCACCGCTTTCAAACTTGCCTACGCCATCAGCTGCAAACATGTAACAAGGCAGCTTGCAAGTCACACTGGCGTGCTTCCTCTTTCCTCTGGCTGATCTGCAACATTAGATAGCCAATGGCACAGCCCGCAAGAGTTTTAATCTGGAACTTAACTGAAATATTGGGTGGGGAATATTAAAGCAAAAACACACTCCTAGTACAAGTTGTAATGGCCAGTCCAAAAACATCAGTTAGTGGCTACTTATTAATCTAACTGAATGTCATCTAGAACTGGTATCATGTAAAATGTAGTTACAGGTTTAGATGAAACAATTGCTATTGTTGATTCCTTGCAGAACTTCTTGCACCTGGTTTTATGAGCACTTTGGATGTATGGTCCCTTGGTAACTTTTTCTTTTAATGCTTTTGTTCTTCTGTTTCTTATTATTTACAAAGAATAAAAAATACTATAAAAATTGGTTGGGGCAAGGAGAGGCATCTTCATTTGTGCCAAAGGATAGAGCCAACACTGAAATTGTACTTTTCATCCTTCTCAATTAAACTAATGCAGTCATACTGGTTAGCCGCCCTGGCCATTTTTTGCTTCATTTTACTAATTATCACAAACCCGAATTCCACCCTTGCAGAAACAACCACAGGGCTTTGGGGAACATGAAGAATGGGAACTGCTGTAAGCCCTCTGCACTCCTCCAGAGCTCCACCCTCATGACCCAGCCATTGCTTCACCCTGGCTGCCACAAGAGCAAAGCCAGACGTACCAAGTTCTTCGGCCGACAGCTCCATATCGTCATCGTCTTCGTCACTGCTCTCCTCCTGCTCAGCTAGGGCCCTCGGCCCCTTGCCCTCAGCTGCAGCTGCTAATCTGTACAGACAAATCACCAGAACAGGTAAGAACACACACAAGAAAAAAGGCAGGTACCTGGTGGCAGCTGCCTTTCTCTGGCTAGAGAGCAACACTCATACAGCAGCTCCTGCCCAGTGTTACAGGAGCGGAGCCGGCTGGAGCCAGGGGTCAGACTAGATGGCCTGGGAGGCTCCTTCTGACTCTCTGTTTCTATGTTATTTATAAATAAAGGAGAACCTCTGGCTTGCCAATGGACTATGTATCTTAACGTTCAGACTAAAAGTGCCGTGGTTCCCAGCCTTGTTCGTCTTTACTCTCAGGCTAGGGGGATAAAATAGGTTTCCACAGTGTTTTTGTAAAAAAAAAAAAAAAAAAGTGCCAGAACTCAGTAAGCAGTCAGCACGCAACCACACGACCGATCCCAAGCCGAGCAGAGTCCCAAGCCGAGCAGCACCCTCACAATCAGTGCCGACACACAAGCAGCCCGCAGGCACTATGTTAATGATTTTTGCCACCGATCTGCTACGCCCAACACGGCGATTCACAATCACTTGGAAAAATCCATCAAAAAAGGGTGCCGGAACACCGTTCCGGTGCGTTCTACGACAAAAAAAGTCCTGGGTTTTCAAACTTTTGCATTGCAATACATGCCTTCTTAAAGTCGCAGTGTTTGGCCTGAGATTTACAAGCTAAGTTAGCCAGTTTTGCTTAGAAGTCTGTATGAGATGAATAAACAAAGTGCACTGGAATTGGCCAAGAAAACTTATGGGCTAATTAAAAAAGAAGGAACTGCAAACTGGAGGAGCGACTGAAGCAACTGAGGCAAGGGGACGGGCCCCTGATGCCACCGACCCTGAGAATGAGGCAAGGCAGAGGCTGCCGCAGTCCACAGGGCAGAGAAGAGCAGCACAGACCTGCCACACTGCCACCAGGAGCGCTGTCAGTGCCTGGCGCCAGGGCAGGGCAGAAGTCGGAGGAGGAAGTCACAACCACTGGGCGTCACTGGCTTTTACTACAAGCCATGGATGCAGACCAGGAGAAGCACTGCGACATCCCAATTCCTTTGTACAGGCACTTACTTTTGATAGCTCTTAAAAAATTCTCTCCAGCAGGGCTGAGCAATTTGCTTTCCTAACAGGAAAGATTTCCCTGTCCAATAAACAATGCTGAAATTTGCAAGGTATTTTTTTTTAAGAACCCTTTATTTTGGCAGCTGTTAAAAGTGCCTCCAAAGAGGCAGTGGGGTGTCACTCTCCCCTTCTGGAGGTGCCCTGAATCCCCACACGTGTGAAAGAGGGAGAGGGTCTCAAACAGTGTCAAGGCGCTACCTCAGAGCACGCTGCTGGAGAGAGACACACTCACCACCTCTCTTGGGGGCAGAGTATCCACTGACACCTTGCCAACTGATAAACGTCGGGCTTATGGACATTAATCGATACGCAGCCTTGCTTTGCCAAAGTACATGGATGCTGCCTCCTGCATTCTGGCAGTGGGGCTCACCATGACATTCATCATGCAAGGCTCCACATTCCAGGCAGCCAGAAGTGCATACCTGCTCACGACCAAGAAGAAAACTGAAAGTACAAATTTACCCCGCAACACAGAAAATGGGCAAGGAGCCAGCAATGATCACTCCAAAGTGCCACTTAAGCATCGATGGAGCAGCTCTCTCTGTTCTGTCCGCAGCATAGAGCTCCAGAGGGGAGAAACCAATCTGGGGTTGTGGCCAGGGCTAGGTTGAGAAGGCAAGATGGACCACAGGACCCTGAGATACAGGCTGGAGGACAAGAGGAGAACAACCTGCAGTCAACCTGATGACCTACCAGGTGCAAGTGGGACTGTTCTGTGAACGGCTTATTTGCAGGGTGGGCTGTCACGTCCTGTGAACTCATCCCATAACTGGCCACACCAGATAAAGGCTTTTAGGAGTGCATATCATCATGCTCCATCGTGTCTGCAGGGTCCTGCCGGGCAGCTTGGTTCTCTCCAGTCCCTCCAGCACATATGATTTTAAGTTAAGCCACTCAAAGGTGCACAATGTATGAATGAGGTGCTTTGGGTTTAGTTAGGGATTCCACAAATTCTGTGCTGAATAATAGCAATGGCAATCACTGCTTTCTTCTTTTAATTCAATTGTTGTGCATGTGTCTTTTTAACTTTTAATTTTAACTGCTGTTAACTGCCCAGAGAACCTCAGGTATTGAGTGGTATATAAATGAAATTAAATAAATAAATGCTTCTGCATGCTTTTAGAACAGATGCATACATTCCTTAACAAATGTCCTTTACAGAAACTTAAGCACAAATGCTTGTGTAGGTGCTTCCGCCCTCCTCCTTAAAGAAAGCTTTTGCACCGGTAACGTGCTCAAAGAATTGCATGCTCTGTTCCACTCCAGTTTTGCAAGTGTCCCCCTCTGATGCTCACCGTCCCTCTGACACCAACAGCAATGGGAGACTTGCAAAGCTGCAGCCAGCGGGCACACCCGACGTCTCCCAAAGAAACCCGGGCATTCACTGTGAAATGGAGCTTCATTTGGCAAACCAAATTTCCTGGGGCTTTGCAAGATGCTAATGGGGCACTCTCTCAAACTTGTCAGCTCCTTGTGAAAGAAATGCTTACCTGCAACCCGGGCAAGTGCAGTACAGGATGGACAGCTGGTGGATCTGGCCAGCAAGCACCCACTGTGGCCAGTACCTAGTTCAGCAATCCTCTAGTACTAACCTGCCCTTTCCAGTTTGTGCAAACTGGGTGGTCTGGATTTTAAAAAAATTAGCACTGTTATTTGTGGTAATAGTTGGTACTTAAAAAAAAAAAAAGAGGCAACCATGGGTAGCCTTTCCAAGGGACTTCCTTGTAGGCGCAACTTGTGGATGCTCCCATGGGTATACTGAAAGGCGTCTTGACAGCTGGCTTTCATGATCACAACAGAAAACAAAGGTTATAAAAAAATCAAACTGTGGCGAGCCCAAACTGCTCACAGTGGCAGTGGGGGGGAGGGATCCCTGCTCACTCCCCAAGGATAACTGTAGGACTGAGGGAGAGAACAGGGAGGGACCCTACCCTGAAGTGCCCAAGTCGGTGGTACTGCATCTTATGTGATCCAAACACACACACTAGTACTATAGCTGATAGTCAATGTCACATAAGCAGGCATCTGCTCACATAGAACAGCTCCTTTCTCCCCCGTACAAATCCATTCCGGAGGAACTCACTGGGGCAGGAGATACCTGAACTGCCAACACTGTCCGTCCTGCTACTGGATAGAAGCCACTGGATTTCACCCAATATTTATGACTGGGGCCTTCCTACTGATTCGGGAACTATCAAGAGATGCCGTCATCATACATCACCAGCGCCATCAGTTCAGACCACTGGCCTTGCGCTCCTTTTCAAGGGCTTCCACCACGGCCTGCTCAATTCCCAAATGAGATGCAGCGATACCGATGGCTCCAGCAGCAGCGCCTTTGCCCTGCGATTGCTAGTTCTTGTGTCGGGACAGCATCAGACTGTTAAGACCCAATTTGTTCTACGGAAGCTGCTTCCAAACTAGCAAGCACAGCATTAAACATTGAGAGAGCTTTCTTGCATGTGCACAAAAGAGGTAAAGCATAAAAATGTTTGTCCCTAATGTCAGCCTCAAAACCACAGGACTGAAAAACAGCGGATTCATACTGAATTTTTTTTTAAGCAGTCCAAGAAATCACAGCCCAATTTAGCTTAGCTTGTGGCCTAGAGAAATTGTGGAAAAGTGTTATTAAAGATAACACCATGAGATATACAGAGGAAAAAGCCTTCCTTAAGAAGAATCAGCAGTCTCTCTCAATCCCTGCCTTTCAAAACACTTTGGAGAAAGCCCCTCCCCAAAGGCCGAGATAACACAGCAGACTCCCTCACAGACTGGTAAAGAGAGCCAGTGTGGTGCAGTGGTTAAGAGCATGAGACTGGGACTCAGACGACCTGGGTTGTAGTCCCCGCTCAGCCATGGAGCCAACTGGGTGACTTTGGGCCAGTCACAGACTCTCAGCCCAACCTACCTCACAGGGTTGTTGTTGTGGGGATAAGATGGAGGAGGAGAGATGATGTAAGCTGCCTTGAGCCCTTTGTAGGAAAAAGGCAGGACATAAATCCAAAAATAAATAAATATAAATAAATAAAGCAGCAGCAGAGAAACAGACAGCTCTCATCATGAAGAAATGAAAGCAAGGCTCTCCAAGGACTGCTGCTTTAAAATTTATTCATAAAAAATTTGGAATTAAGGGTGAGCTGTGAGTTGGAGAACTCTAGATGACATCAAGTAGCCCAGGAAGATAAAATCAATAAGAGATCCCTATGGACCTGCGAGGTTCATAGTCAGTGAATGCTAGTCAACACTCATTGTTCTAGGAGTTCATCAACAGGGAAGCATTCTTGCCGTCATGACCTCCGAGTAGGCTTCCCACTTGCTCGGTGCGAGTCCCTGTGGGGGGAACTGAGCTGCAGAATACATACTGAGTGCATGCACACAATCGACCCTGCACCAGGACGCACTTACTTTTTAGCCAACACATCTGCGGCAGGGGCTTCGTGTGTCTCTGTGTCGCTGCCGGCATCCTCATCATCTCCCACCATGCTGCAAAGGCAAAAGAGACAAGGACCATCAAGAGCATGTGCTGTTACCAAACCCACCATTGGCGGGGGGGGGGCAAAAAAATCTTAAACTGCCACTCCTTATATCAAGTGATTCTATACATGTACATTTATCAGTAGCCTTTGTATACTACAGGTGCTAAGGCAGCACATTTAAACAATCACAAAAATACTGTGAAATCCATAGGAGCTGCAGTAACTTAAAAAAGAAAAAACCACAGCTGAACCAACATGGGTCTGCAGCAGATCAATTCTAAGGCTAATCCATCACGGGCCCCATGAGACAGGTCTTCCGTTAGCCCCCGCCCCCCCCACCCCAGCAAGCAAGCAAGCAAGCAGGCAGGCAACTGTTAAGGTCCTAATATATATTTGGGAAGATTTTCCCCTGCCCCGTTAATCCCCATTCGTAATAACCAGCATGCGAATGCTTCTCAAAATCATATCCTGCACACAGCGTCTGCTAAGTAACCAAAGCGACCCTTGTTCAGGATATCTGACATTTAGCCCTCGGGGATCACGCCGCCCCCTACTAACATCACCGGGACGGCAAGGCGCGCCTGCTCTGGGCACGCGAGCGTCCCACGTCGCACGCGCTTTTCAGGGCGCCTTACCCGTGATAGGGCGTACTCGGCTCATCGATCTTCATCAAACCGTAGTCCTTGCCTGCCGGGTGGTACGTTGCCAGGATATTCATTTCATCCCACTTCTGAGACTTCTTCCTGAAAGGGCAAAGGCGCAGGAACACGGAGACCAAGTCAGCCGCGCCGGCTCCTCCTGAAGCGGGGGAACCCACCCCGCCGCCGCGCGGGCGGCCCGGCTCTTGCTCGGCCCCACGACCGCGCCGCCGCTCCGAGGGCCGCCCTGCTGCAGCCGCGTGGACGCCGAGCGCCTCGCAAGCGCGGCCCAGAGGGGCGCTCCCGCCCAGCCCGCCGAGGGCTCTCCGCGCCGCCGCCGCCGCCGGGGGCCCC